AAGGTATTATGGTTAATTCCCCAACAACAATTTCACATCAGATAATTAATCTAAGCCAATCCATGCGTGGCATAGCAACTGGTCCAGGGGCAGTCATATGTCCTGAGTTGGCTCCCTCAGACTCAAGAGGAGGATTTAAATTCCAGAGTTGAAGGAGATTTCTTCTCTTCCTGGATGTGAACAGGAACACTACCAGCAAAACAGAGTGTTGGAAATGTTCTTGCAAACAGAGTGGGGAGATAAAAACCAAAATAAACAAAAAACTCCAGGTATTTGAGGACAGAGCTAATTCTAGCACACCTGGGGCCTCCTTTCCCTCTAGTGGGCTTTGCAGTTCTGTGAGTCCTTTAAGGAACAGGTTATGTGCGACCCTACCGGGCACAGCACTAGCCAGTTGTTGGTCGGGGTGATCAGTGAGAGCTCTGTAAGATCAAGCTGAATCTCAAGGGACAGGATTTCAAGGATTGGCTGCTCCTTCCCTATGGGTACTCTTCTATTTACAGCTTTGTGGCAAGAAAAGTTATATTTTATTAACACACGCACTCTTTGCTTTGTAGCCTCCCACTTTATAAACATCTATGCTTATAAGCACAGTGTTACTGTGCTCAGATGTTGCTTCTTTACACACCCCCTCATGGCCACTAGAACGCTACATCTGCTCAGCTAGACTAAGCACCTTGAGGGCAGGGATTAATTTGCATTCATTTTTGTCGCCCTAGGACTCTTCATTGGCATTAATATGAAATAGGTTCACAATAAATGTTTGCTGAAAGAATAAATGAATGATAATGAAACATGCTCTTGTAACAGTAGGAGTCAGCAAACTATACCCCGTGGACCAAATCTGGTCTGTGGCCTGTTTCTCTTTCTTTTTCTTTCTTTAAGTTTATTTATTTTTTTGCAATCTCTACATCCAACATGGGGCTCGAACTCACAACCTTGAGATCAGGAGTCACATGCTCTTTTAACTGAGCCAGCCAGGCGCCCCTGTGGCCTGTTTTTCTGTGGCCCTTGAGCTAAGAACAGTCTTCTCATTTTTATTTTTATTTTTATTTTTTAAGAATTTTATTTATTTGAGAGAGAGAGAATGAGAGACAGAGAGCACGAGAGGGAGGAGGGTCAGAAGGAGAAGCAGACTCCCTGCCGAGCAGGGAGCCCGATGCGGGACTCGATCCCGGGACTCCAGGATCATGACCTGAGCCGAAGGCAGTCATTTAACCAACTGAGCCACCCAGGCGCCCCTATTTTTATTTTTCAAGATTTTATTTTTAAGTAACCTCTACACCCAACGTGGGGCTCGAACTCACAACCCTGAGACCAAGAGTCACGTGCTCTACTGACTGAGCCAGCCAGGCGCCCCCACTCTTCACATTTTTAAATGGCTGAAAGAAGTCAAAAGAAGAGTGGTATGTTTTAATCCAGGAAAATTCTATGAACCTCAAATTTCAGCATCCATAAAGTTTTAGTGGAACACATCCACACTCATTCATTTACGTACTGTCTACACTTTGGAACTACCATTAGCAGGGGTGAGTAGTTGCTACAAGACCATATGGCCTCCAAAAATTAAAATATTTACTGATTGTTTACAGAACAAGTCTGCCACCCTTGTTGTTTCCTGGGTTTTTTTTTGGGGGGGGGTAGGTTAATGGAAGTATGGTCTCTATAGTCATTTTTAAAAATTCAATCTCCATTCATCTTAGTCACTTGGCCAAAGAACACAGGCAAGGGAAAGAAGTGTTCAACAATTATATGGCAATACACGATTTGTGTAGCACTAGGGGACACTAAATTTAAATAGAGACTGAGGGGCACTTGGGTGGCTCAGTCAGTTGGGCATCTGTCTTTGGCTCGGGTTGTGATCCCAGGGTCCTGGGATCGAGCCCCGCATCCGCACTGGGCTTCCCGCTGGGTGGGGAGCCTGCTTCTCCCTCTCCCTCTGCTGCTCCCCCTGCTTGTGCTCTCTCTCTCGTCAAATAAATGAATAAAATCTTTAAAAAAATTTTTAAATAGAGATTGAAATACTCACTTTGAGATCTGAATTATACAAATTACTTAGACTCACTGAATTAAATAAATACTTTCAGTGTCCAGGATCATTATTAATTCTGCAAACACCTGATTGGACATTGATGTTTCGATATTTCTAAACTGACAAAAGCCCAAAACATTGCCCGGTAGTTTCACCTCACTTAATAGAGGGGTTTAGAAAATCTTATTCTAAATACTGCATTGATGTATTTTGTATCAGAAATAAATGCATCGATATATCAGAACATATTTTGTATCAGAAAATGTGGATTGGCATACCAAAAAATTTATGATGCATACAGAATTTTTAAATAAATAATTTAAATTATCTTGGGCTGAATTTTTTTTCAAGACTTTATTTTTTTAGGTCATCTCGATACCCCACGTGGGGCTGGAACTCACAACCCCGAGATCGAGAGTCGCATGCTCTACAGACTGAGCCCACCAGGTGCTCCTATTTAGTCTGTCTTTAAATGGTAATGGTGTAAAAAACAATATCCTCATATTTAGCAGTAGTTATCTCGACATGGGGGAGATAACTATTTTTCTTCCTTCCTGAATTTTCCAATTTGTCTATATTTTGCACGTTGTAATTACCAAAGGAGTTTTTAAATAGGGCATTATTTGACCAATTTAAAATTCCCTTAATCCTCATGAAATTGCTTTGCATTTACTTTACCCCTAGCCTAGCCAAAGAGCTATCTGATGTGGCAGGAAATAAACCTGAGGTTTGGCAGTCTGAAAATGAAAAACAAGCGCCAAATTTCCACCCAAGAAAGTCTGCTCACTGTTCTTGGGGGGAAAAAACACAAAGGCCTTTGAAAAAGTGGGGGGTAGAGAAAAGGTCACATGGTCGAAGTAATTAAATAAATAAAACACTACTTAATTGCCCTGTGGAGCACCGTCTCGGGGCTAAAGTGAGGGAATTATTTCAGCAACCTGCAAACATTACATACCTATATATTTTCCGAAGTCCCTACAGTAATATCAGACAGGGAATAGTTTTGGGTCATAATGTTACTTTTCAGAGCAAAACCTGATTATTGGATGCGTTTTTAAAAATTCTAGAAAGAGGCAAAGTAGATTTTTTTTTTTTTTAAGATTTATTTATTTATTTGACAGAGAGAGACACAGCGAGAGCAGGAACACAAGCAGGGAGAGTGGGAGAGGGAGAAGCAGGCTTCCCGCGGAGCAGGGAGCCCGATGTGGGACTCGACCCCAGGACCCTGGGATCATGACCTGAGCCGAAGGCAGACGCTTAACGACTGAGCCACCCAGGCGCCCCCAAAGTAGATTTTTTTATTCGTCTTTCCCACCCTACCAACGTTGACCAAGAAGGCAAATTATGAACCTTCTGAGATTTAATGTGTTCTAGAACTCCTTTTGCAAGGAGATCGAGAACCTAAGAAAGGCAAGTGTGAGAAATGTTTGCAAAGCCAACCAATGACTGGCAGATATTTTTCATGAAGACAAAGAGTTAATTCATTGTGAAGGACAATGTGTAATCACTTGTCAGCTGTTGGAACTGTTTAATAATAGCACCGTGCGACATTAATTGCTATTCCAAATACCGTGTGGTGTGGATGCAGAAAAGGTCAGCCATCAAACAGAGCCCAGTGGCGACCTGCTAACAGGTCACCAACCCGATGCCCTTCTTTCTGGGCACGCAGCTCTCTATTTCTTTGACCCCTTTGTGCTTATGGGTGACCACGGGGCGGACTTCCGGCCAGGAGGATGTGCGGAGAAGAGATGTATGGCTCTTTCAGGCCTGACCCTTACAGGGCCTCCCGCCTGCCAGGCTCCATTTTTCTTCTGCTGACTGACTGGGGACTCTAAGGCCAAAGAGGCAGAAGAGGCGACAAGATGCAAAGAACCGTTGCTGTTCAGAGGAGAGCCACCTGACCGAGGACACCCACACTGGACTGTGACAGGACCAGGTATCTGTCCTGTATATACCCCCGTCTTGAGGCAGGTGTTCACTGTGTGTGAATGGCTAAATGCACCCTGCCTCTGAGCACAGGACTGAAATCACTCGACCAGTGATTCTGAGGGGAGGGTAACATTTTTTTTTTTCTTTTTTAAAGATTTTTTTTATTTATTTGGGAGAGAGAGAGGTAGTGAGAGAGAGAGAGCACAAGCAGGGGGGACAGGGAGAAGCAGGCTTCCCGCTGAGCAAGGAGCGCGACGCGGGGCTCGATCCCGGGACCCTGGGATCATGACCTGAGCCGAAGGCAGACGCTTCACCGACTGACCCACCCAGGCGCCCCAGGAAGGGTAATGTTGACGAAGGGGGTCTTTCAAATTCATACCAGGCTTCTCCCAACATTCAAACTACCATTGATGGAAAAATTGTTTTCTTCCTTATGTTTAACTCAAGACAGAGGTAGTAACATCTGCATTGCTCATGCCTCACTGGGGAAGAAATCTGGTGACACTCTCGTTGTTTGGGAATAGCTCAAAATTTTTAGTTCAGACTTAATTGGGTCATTTGCAGATAAAGTCAGAAAGATCATGCACATGGCCCTAATGGAATCCTCAAACGATCTTTTCCCAAAACATTATTCCTTTACAGTCCTAGGTCAAGAACAAATCTCTTAGGTCATTTCACAGAATGTCTTCTCATTAGGCAAGATGGATCTTCTTGAAGATCAGGGAAACTGACCTCAGAAAATAACTCCTCTTAAGGTTTCCACATGTCTGGCAGTTCTTCTGTGGGGAAGCGGCGGGGGGGGGGACCGATTAGCATCTTCGATGAACTAATTCCACAGAGACAACCAGCACTGAGTTTGACCAATGAGGTTAGACCTGGTCAAATTATTTTTTTCCTTGAATAAAAGTCATTAATATTAATTAATCCAAACTGTTCGGTGCTCTCAGTTCCGATCACTTGAATCTTGCCCACCAAAAAAAAAAAAAAAAAAAATTAATGAAAGTCCAACTGGACAATAATGGGATGCCTCAGACCAAAATGACATTAAATGTTTTTTTTATTGAACAAAAAGAGATAAAACATGGAAGTTGAAATCACTGAGCAAAAGCAGCTTCCCACGTGAGGCTGCTATACTTTGTGCTAAATAACCTTATGAACTGAGAATATACAGAACACATATAATATGCAAGTTACCTCAACAGCAAAGGAGAAGGTGTAGGTTACAGCTTCGGAAGGAAAAATTTGGTCAAGTGACAAATTTAGTTGCTCAAAATTTCTAGCCCTTATCCACCTAAATCCAGTAGGATTCTCCATGTGTGCATTCAGTATGTGCATACTGAATTCCCATTTTAAGGGAAGCTGTTTTTGGTAGAAATTTAAAAAGATCTTTCATGTTTATTTGACGTGCCATTCAATTTTTAAAATTTTATATTTGCTATATGTGTGTGTGTGTGTGTGTGTATTTATACACACTTCAGAAACCCCAAACCCTTGTTTCTAAGTAGAGGGGTCATGCTGTTTCTTTTTTAAATTAATATTGGTGAGTTTCAGTTATTATTTCTCCTGTGTGTCTAAGAAACTTCATATGTTTTCAATGCACCCACACAGACCGGTGGGTTGACAGATATGTCAAAAACACTTTATGCAAAGAGGGAGGTAGCTCATGCGAGTTGGCAACCTTTTGTCTATTGTGTCCTGTTGACATCTCACAGTCAAAGATGAAAGGAAAACTTTTGGACTTTGAAGCCTAGTTAGCACAGTTGTACATTTACTATAATCCACCATCAAGTTGGTTTATTGGGCTTTCTAATGTAAGATGACAAATACCTTACACCCAATACACAGCATCAAAAAAGTACTGAAGAAACATTTTATAGACAATATCTTGGGGTTTTTTTTTGTTTTTTTTGTTTTGTTTTGTTTTTTGTATGTTAAACATCAGCTTCAATGGGATACATTTCCAGAAAGGTTTTGTTACCACTTTATAAACACTCTAAGCCAAACAAACAGCACAAATAACATCAATGTTGTCTTTTTTTCCAATATCTGTATCAATGACTGGAGGCTAATCCTAACATACACTACTAAAGGGGGCGCAAAAGAAGAGAATTCTTGACACGTTGCAAAGATAGGACTACAGCATCTTAGTTGTAGGGGGATGATCCTAAGGTGCAGAAAGGGGGGACTCTCTAGAGGGGGATGGTGTGGTTTCTTCGGGCGGGAAAACCGTGAGTGTACAAGCTCGGATGCCACCGAGGGACTCTGGGAGATCAAACACCTTATGCCACTCATCTTTATCGGGGTCATATTTCTGCACTATCTCCACCATACAGCGATTATTCCAGGAATACCCACCGACCACGTAGATCTTATTTTCAAAGACCGCAACCCCAACATCACTCTGCCCCCTTAGCATGGCAGCAATTGGGGTCCACTGGTCAAGGATAGGTGAGTAGTATTCACAGCTTAGGACATCATCATAATCACTCGTGCCTCGGAAGTGGTTACCACCGATGACATAGAGCCTCTCGCCCACCGTACACATGCAGTGCAGACCTCTGACGGTGGTCATTGGCGCCTTCTGGATCCACTTGTCAGTGTCAGGGTCAAAGCACATGAGCTCCTTTTGGAAAGTGTCATGAGTGATTCCTCCTAAAGCATGAACATAGGCATGACAGTAAACAGATTATTACAAAGATGCAAAAGTAAATAAAAGGCTCTCTGTCCCTAGATCATCAAAGTCTAGCCACCTATTATGCCATCTTATGGCTTTATCGCTGGTGTCCTTATAAATGTCTGCCCTCCAGAAGTACTTGCTCTGGGATTAAAAATCCAGAAAGTAACATTTTCAGCTCTTAGAGAACCAAAAAGTGTAGCTTATGTTATCGCAAGGACCTTCCGAAGCCGAGACCCGTGGAATTTAAGAGGCTTTGCTAAATGAAAATAGATTTGGGCCACTTTTAGAGTTGGGTCTGCTGTCAATCTCGTGTATGAAGCATCATGCACTTCTTTTTCTTTAAAAAAAAAAAAAAGGCATTTATTTATTTATTTATTTATTTGTCAGAGAGAGAGAGAGAGAGAGAGAGCACAAGCAGGGGGAGCGGCAGGCAGAGGGAGAGGGAGAAGCAGGCTCCCCATTGAGCAGGGAGCCCGACGTGGGACTCGATCCCAGGACCCTAGGATCATGACGTGAGCCGAAGGCAGATGTTCAACCGACTGAGCCACCCAGGCGCCCCAGCATCACTCACTCCTACTGCTTTGGGGCGAGCACGCCCTGGCAGCTGAATGCTGGGCTTGGGCATTTTAATTCCAGTTGCCCATTTCTGCACTTAGCACATAAAAATCTCTACTCTCATTATCTCATCAGCATTGGGGCTATGAAGTCAAATCCATCAAAATGCTTTGAAAAGTTGACAGGATTATGCAAATGTCCAAGCCTATAAGAATACTCAGCACCGTGTTTTTGTAGAGTTTCTGTTGGGTGGGTGCGGGAAGGTACTGTCATGTGCTATCGGCCTGGACACTTAAAGAAGCCGCGTGCTTGGGTGGCTCAGTCGTTAGGCGTCTGTCTTTGGCTCAGGTCATGATCCCGGGGTCCTGGGATCGAGCCCCATGTCGGGCTCCCTGCTCGTTGGGAAGCCTGCTTCTCCCTCTCCCACTCCCCCTGCTTGTGTTCTCTCCCTCGCTGTCTCCCTCTGTGTCAAATAAATAAAATCTTTTTTTTTTTTTTAAAGATTTTATTTATTTGACAGAGAGAGGCACAGCGAGAGAGGGAACACAAGCAGGGGGAGTGGGAGAGGGAGAAGCAGGCCTCCCGCGGAGCAGGGAGCCTGATGCGGGGCTCAATCCCAGGACCCCGGGACCACGACCCGAGCCGAAGGCAGACGCCTAACGGCTGAGCCACCCAGGTGCCCCTAAATAAAATCTTAAAAAAAAAGCCGAATGCTGAATACATATGGAATCTTGTATGTGCCTCAGTTGGCTGTTGATCCACTGAGTCTGTATTATCTACAGAGTGTATTCTGAGGTCACACAGAAATCAGTCTCTAGAAGGAAAGTATCAGACTCTGTTCTGCAGATTAGCAAGAGAACTACACAAATTTTCAGCTGTATCAATCAAAGCGCTCCTATCTGGGGACCAGTTGGCAATCACTGTTTCCTCTCTGCTTTTTAGTTTAGTTTTTTGTTTTGTTTTGTTTTGTTTTCTGTACTCTACAGAATTCTCAGGAAGCAAAACGGTGTTTGTTTTTTTTTGTTTGTTTGAGATTCAGCTCTGGTCCTACCCTATTCTTGACCGGTGAGGTCATTTATAAAATACATGTTAGCTATGCCAAAGTGCCACGAGAACAATTTCATGTCATTTTTGTCCCCCCAGAGGATCTGGAGCTCTCATTATAATGGCATAGTATCTACACACATAAAATAGGTAGAGGGTGTAAATCATTGATTAGCGGAGCATATGATTTCCTGGATGGCTCTTTCAGTATAAGACGTCCTGGAGTTGCTCATAAATTTAACACCCCAAACCTATCAATCACCCACTCCAGGCCTTTCGCTGATCCCTCTTGATTACAGACTTCGTAAGGCAGCGGCGTTCAGAGACCCAGACCACCATAACCTAATGCCTCCGTTCTCTAATAATGTAACTGCTGGCCTGGCACTGGCAGGCTCTCGGAAGGGGGACGATGTGTCAAGAGAAAAATACACACGCATGTGGCCAACATATATACAGGTAATCAGCACAGAATTATTCATGCAAGGACCCCACAGTAGATCCCCTGATAGTGCTGAGGAAAAAAGGAAACACCTATTATCAGTCGCACTAAATGACAGCGTGAACATTATTATGCATTACGTGTGTATCAGGAGCCAGCTTATGCACGGCAGAGTTTATATATTAAATAATGATAGATTTCCTCATAGAGCTGAGCTAAATGTAAGCTCAAAATGAATTAAGGGTCGCTACCGGGACTATGAATGGGGGTTGTTGGCCTACAGGGTTCATTAGAGTACAGAATATGGGGACCAAAACGCAACCTGCAGAAGCTGAAGGCTTTCCAGTTTCTTCCAAGTTATGTATTCACAGCACGACGGGTTTGCTGCTAGTCTTATGAACTTCTAGAATACCAAAGGCATCTATACGCAAACACGCACGTACAAGGTATCTTCTAAAATCACCACAAATTATCTTTTGATGATCCCTTTTTCTGTATTCTTCTTCTTTTTTCTAATGTAGCAGCACTTACATTATTTTTCTAATATTGTATGGAAAGATGGTGCCATAGTTAGAAGCGTACGTATTATATTAATTGCATCTGCATTATAATGGTTTACCTGAAATATACATGACTCCTCCATACACAGTCCCGGCATGGCCATAGTGGGGTTCACTCATTTTGGCAACGTAGGTCCACTCATTTGTTCTTGGATTATAACACTCCACTGTGGCTGTTGTTTGACGAAAAGAAAAAAAAAAAAAAAAGAACAAAAGAAAATAATTTATAATTTCAAATTTAGCAATGAGTTATTTTTCCCTTTAGGTAAAATAATAATATTTAAAGAACGGAACCGTATCTATTACAGATATGAGATACTCTTTGGGGGTCTCTTTTTTTATTTACTGAGATTATACTACTAAGATGAACCATTAATACATTTTACATTAGACTAGAGACTTATGTAATAATCTAACACATTTCTGTCACTGCAGAAACTGCTAGGGTTTCTTTTCTTCTGGTATCTTGTTACATCTTTCTAATTTGACATTTCTCCCAATTCCTTGCTCTAAATATGTGGGAAGATGAGGGAGCCTGGGTAGCTCAGTCGGTTAAGCATCTGCCTTCGGCTCAGGTCATTATCCCGGGGCCCTGAGATCGAGTCCCGCATCGGGCTCCCTGCTCAGTGGGGAGTCTGCTTCCCCTTCTGCCCCTCCCCCCCGCTCGTGCTCTCTCTCTCTCTCTCTCTCGCAAAAATAAACAAAATCTTTACAAAAGATAAATATGTGGGAAGATGAAAAAATCATAAGGAAGAAGAAAAGTCAGTTCTAGGCCCCCCGTGCTGATCCACCATCTAGGAAACAAAGGTTCATAGACAGGAAGCAAAGTCTGAGGGTGAGAATGAATGTATGTATGTATGCACACCGCCTGCCGTATGTGCTGGCTGCCTCTTGCTTTATTTCACATCCAGACTACACAATAGACATTGGTAATAATTTTTCCACATTTCCATATTAAAGTCAATAGTGGCAGCATGACATGAAGGGAAGATTTTTATTGGGGCCGCTTCCTTCCAGTAATAAATTTATCATCTTTAACATAAAGTATTTTGGAGAAGTGACCTCAACCTATTTAAATATCACTCTGTTATAACCTCAAGAATAGAACAATGACAGATAGAAAACGTAATCCTTTTTAAAAGGCAGAAAGAAATAGGGCTGTTCCCAGTACTCTGGTCAAAAGCACCAAGTCTAAGGGCACCTGGCGGGCTCAGTCAGAAGAGCACGTGAGTCTTGATCTTGGGGTCGTGAGTTCGAGCCCCATGTGGAGTATAGAGATTACTTAAATACATAAAACTTTAAAAAAGAAACAAACAGAAACCCCACACAAAGTCTAGGGAGACTTGAAAAGTTTATACTATTTACTACAGATGCTGTCAGTTGGCAACCCGATTTCTTGTCTCCCCTCACCCTGCTTTTTTCTCAGGAACAGAAGAACCAAGACACTGCACACCGGAGTGCTGTGCTAAACTCAACATTCAAATTAGCGGGTTCCCTTGAACCTGGAATGGACCATATGATTAATTCTAGGCAATGAAACGGAAGCAGAAATCTACTGAGTGGGGCCATTTGATCAAGCCACTGGAACACCTAACTGATAAATCATCCCTTGAACAAGATTTCCTATTAAAAAAAAATAATAATAACGTGAGAACAGGAAAAACCAGAGAGAAAAAATGAGAGATGCACTTTCTACTCTATTCAACAATTTCATTTCTTCATCAAACTGACTACACACAGTACTTATTTCTCACCTAACGACTCCTATATTATACCACTTCTCATCTCCCTTTACTGACTGCTTTTTGCACTGGCTTGAGCTTTACATTTTCAGGCTCATCTCAAAGGCTTTTCCTGTTCTCATTTTGATCTACTGTCTTGTTAGTTTTGTTCATTGCTTTAGGCCTGGACCCTCACCAACTCTATTTCTTCTTTTTTTTTTTTTTCCCTCCCAACTCTATTTCTTCTAAATCCTTCCATTAAGTAGCTGGATCCTGCAAAATCTTTCCCCCAAATAAGAAGAGCTATTGCCACAATTCATGACAAGCTGAAACTGATTCCTCCGATACTGGTTTTGGCTCTTTGTAGTCACTGGACATCTTCTCCAATGTTTATTTCCATTTGCCTTTAGCATGACTTTCACTTCATTGACAAGCTCAATCCTACTGAACATACATTATTATCTCTCTCTCTCTCTCTCTCTCCACTTACAGAGGATCTAGTATATTGATTGGTACTTGGCATCAGCAAAGTAATTAATGGTAGGGTTTTAGCTGATAAAAAAAAAAAGTAGTCTAATCACACACCCTATCAGTGAAAGGGTTTTAAAAGACTTTCAGAGATCACATTTCTGATGGCAAAGACAGGTTTTACTATAGTTCTATGCTTCCCTTAATGAAAAATTCTGCCTTGAACTTTGAAATTTCTAGAGTGTCACAGTCTGTCCTTATGTCTAATTCAATCTATTTTGATGGAGTTTCCATTAGTTTCCTCCTGTTCTTTTTGGAGTGGAACTAGCGCTTGAACAGCTATTCACTCTTTATGATTATTAAAATTTTCCCATGTAGAAAGATAATGCTGTTCTTCCGTCAGTGAATTAATTGCATTTTTTTCCCTAAGAGGGGTTATAAGAATCCATCTCTATTTTCTCATACAGGAGTAACCTAAGTGTAAGATGGCTATTAACCACCAATAATATAATAACTATGTAATAGTTCATCATCCCTCAACTTTTCTTCCTTGGGCAAAATAATCCATATCCTTTAGTTTTTCCTATCATTTAATATCTACTGTCAACCTCTAGACTGTCTCCATGAAGAATTGTTGTTCTTAGTAAAATCAAGAGTATTTAGTTTTAAAATAGAACACATCCGATTAAAAGTGTATACACACACATGTCCTTATTTTCCATATTCACAAGGCAGTGGGATATAGGCTTGTGCCAACAGCCTTGATAGGGGGAGGGGGCAAGGGATGATGCAAGGGACAAAACAGTGGTTCCATCATAGTCTATGAGAGGTAGGAATGGTAATGAACTAATTAGGAAAGTCTAGAATAGGGTCAGGCAAATTATAGCCTGTCAGCCAAATCCATCATGCTGCCTGCCTTTTGTATGCCCCACAAGACAAAAATATGAATGGCTTTTACCTTTTTTTAAAGAGTTGGGGGAAAAAAAAATCAAAGGAAATGTTTTGTGACATATGAAAATCATATGGAATTCAAATGCTGATGTTCCTATAGAAAGCTTCATTGGAACACAGCCTCACCCGTTCATTTATAAATTGTCTATGCTTGCTTTTGCAATACAACAGCAGAAGTGATAAGCTGTGACAAGATCCTATGGCCTACAAAACTGAAAATATTGATTTTCTGGCCCTTTACAGAATTTCACTGACCCTTATTCTAGAGAATCATCTTCAGTAACCTGGTTGCCTGCAATTTAAATTAGAGACCCTCTCCAATTTAAGAATTACATGGAGGTTGCTTAGTTCACATAAATCATTAAAGATTACTATTTTCTCAGGTGATTCTACTGGAGCCTGGAATTGGTTCCAAGGGATAATGTGGAACTTGTTCTTTTTGAGAGTAGAAAGGGATGAACCCTGAATCACCACCGGAACAATGATGGTTCCCACAGAGGGGCTGTGATCTCTAGAATCTTAAGAGTGCCCGCTGGCGATGTGTTGCTTAATGAAGAAAACTGCAAATCCATGAAGGGATATGGAGACATTTGATAAATTTCAGTAATTTTATTGCACATTTACTTGAAAAAAAAGTCTAACACCTTTTTCTATAAGTTATTTCATTACTTGAAAGCTTGACTTATTAATATTTAACAGAAATGAAAGCTATCTGAGCTATCATATTTCTCTTCAATATAGAAAACCTCAATGGAAGATCGATTTCTTAAATGACATAAGTTTGAAAGATGCCAGGAATAACTGACTTCTCTTTCACTTAAGTGACAGCTACTCTAAGCTTCACGTAGTTTCCAATTGTACCCAGTGTCAAAGGAAAGCAGCATTTCTAAGGAATTATATTTCAGCAATATATCAGGCTCACACACACATTAGTAGTATCTTTTTGATGTACTATGGGCTTAGGTCCATCCATACACACTCCATGAAGGGATTTTAGAAGGCCAAATGCATTAAAATGATCTAAAATGTCTTACAAATGCTGCCACTGTTTTCTTTTCATAATTACATCTAGGAAATGGTCATTGCGTATATGAAGAATAAATAATATACTGGTACTAATGAACCAAACTAAAATTTTCTTTTAAGAGAAGATTTTACTTTTAAGTCGTCTCTACACCCAACGTGGGGCTCAAACTTATAACCCTGAGATCAAGAGTCACATCCTCCACCGACTGAGCCAGCCAGGGGCCCCAAACCTATTAAATTGTTAAATGACCCTCCCATCGATTCCCTTTTGCCTGCCACCCATTGCTACCCCCTTCTCTATTTACACAGGCCTATTAATATGGCAATGTAATCAGTTAAGATGGCACTGTGAAGTTACTATAACAGATGTTCTTGTGTGTGCGTGTAGAGGGCAGTCCCATAAAAAAAAAAAAAAAAAGTTTACGGAGCAGGAGAAATGTTAAAAAAAAACCCAGCCTCTGGCTGGAACATTCAGAAATATAAGCAAGGGTCTCTTTAGGACCTAAATCTGCTATTCTGCAAAAACCATGGGTCCAAGAAAACTGGAAAGGGCAAGTGACACATATACAAAGAGAAACATTATTAATAAAGAGAATTCAGAAGAAGTCAACAATACAGAATGTGACACGATTGTTTTAAAACAGTCTATTTCCTGCTCCCAAGTGGGTCTAAAATAGGAAAAACTCAAAGGAGTTGGGGTGGCCTGAAAGTTCTTGTGCAATTAAGATCCAAGATTTCAGTGCACTTAAGCCAATCAACTGATTTTCTAAAAAAAACTTCCAATATATTTTAACTTAAAATATTTACTACAGCCAGGCTTTGCTGGGTATGCTGATTTTAAGGCAAACAGTCATTTTCTACAAAAGCGTACTTACTTACAGATTACAGGAGGTAATTTCAAAGGGAAAGAAATGTCATTGGCCTTTAAAGTGGAATTAGAGCTGTTTCTTGGTATTGAGGGTTTGTGTCTATATTACAACCATCTATGTATTTGTGAAACATGCAGTTTACAAATTTAGATAAAAATGGGCCTCTACCATCTAGAGGGGTAATCATTTTTTAGGCTATATAAGTCATTATCCTTAGGTTTAAGCTCTGGGAGACTGATTTTAAAACCTAAATATAATCAAATAGTTACTATGAATTAGGAATAGCTCATGAAAAGCACGCTTCTCATTTCTTTTTACTTTCAAACTGAAATGCAGAAGGGGCGCCTGGGTGGCTCAGTCATTAAGCGTCTGCCTTTGGCTCAGGTCATGATCCCAGGGTCCTGGGATGGAGCCCCGCATCGGGCACCCTGCTCAGCGGGAAGCCTGCTTCTCCCTCTCCCGCTCCCCCTGCTTGTGTTCCCCTCTCTCGCTGTGTCTCTCTCTGTCAAATAAATAAATAAAAAATCTTTAAAAAAAAAAAACAACTGAAACTCAGAAGACTATTTTTAATAAGAGATGGAGGGTGTGATTTCTGAAGGTCATGAGCAAGGAAGGCAGCCACTTGCCCAACGGCGTCGTCTACTTCTCGTTCCCAAATGAGTATAACATGGCAAGAGCTCAGCAAAAGAAAGCCTCTAGCTTCTTGGTTTTATGTAATGACTCTCCTTGGCCTGAAGATGATAAATTCTCAGAAGAATAAGGCCTCTAATTAATAGGAGGAATGATATATTGAAGACTGCATATTAACAGCGGTGATAACATCAATAAGCAAGCACTGACTAAGAAATTGGAGCTATTTCCCTTGAGGAAAGAAGGTCTGAAATGACCACACACTGCCAGGACCGATGACCTATAATTTGTAAACTTGGAAAGATTATCTTATACAAGCGGTTTTCCTAAGAAAGTGCCAAATCACTAGTTGCAGCTTCTGAATATTTCCAGACACCGTCCATTTAAAATAGTATCACAACATGAAAATAACGTGTGTGGGCTGAGTGAGGAGACCTGAAATGACAATTCGACACGACAGGTACTGATCCCTCGAATGCGTTTTAAAGCCTGATTATTAAAATATATTGGGCAATCTGTGTGGTTCATGATAAGGATCCCGAGTCCCGCCTTTTGGAGAGCCCAGTCTTAGAAAAAAATATCACTGCGACAACAAAGGGAAAAAAAACTGTAGGTAGGAAAGAGCAGTAACATTAAGACGTGACTAACGAGAAAGGGATTGATCAGCTGGAGAGTATAAGAGCTGAGAGCAGTTCTTTTGGCCTCCAATAAATAACTTATTCTTAAATCCATTAAGCTACCAAGAAAAAGATGCTGATAGTCACTCTGAATTGATCCAGAGCCAAGGCCAATATTTTCCACATTCCCAGCATTACAGAGCCTGGACTACTGGTCAACTACAAGGACTCTGGTCATTGCAGCATAAAAGAGGGGGTGAAAAAAAGAGGCCAAACGATGATGGTAATGACAGATATGGAAGGCGTGACAGAAAATGGGGTCTTCCTGACTTCTTTTTGGACAGCTATCTTACTCCAATTTCACCTAAAATAACAAAATTAGTGTTCATTTATGGAGCCAAAGTACTATTCTACGTTAACTGCACTTGTGACCAATCTTCAATTAGGGAGACAAAAAAAGTGGCCCCATCTAATGAAGCTTACCAGAGCAGTTTACAGTGAAGAAAACTGTTTGGTATTTCACTAAGAGAGAATGATTTTTTTTTTTATGATTTTATTTATTTATTTGAGAGAGAGCAAGAACATGTGAGTGGGGAGGGGAGGGGGGAAGAACAGAGGGAGAGGGACAAGCAGACTCCCGTGCTGAGCATGGAACCCGACGCAGGACTCGATCTCATGACCTGAGCTGAAATCAAGAGTCAGACGCTTAACTGACTGAGCCACCTGGGTGCCCCAAGAGACAATGGTTTTTAAAACTGATAGTCACAGATCACATTACTCAGAGTAAATACATTTTGGATAATACTGAACTTGGTACATTTAATTGACAAAGAAAATGATCTTACTATGGCGGTCAAGGGTCTAGGATAGGGTAAAAGATTACGTAAACGAAGAAACGATAACAGTCAGTCCTCTGTAAGGAAGGATTTTAACCTGTACAATAAAGTATTATGTGGGCTTTTAAAAATGGAAAATAAGGAAACATGCCAAACTTCTGTCCGAGATTCTATTAGTATTTAAATTAGCAGAATATACTTTGTAGTTACACTGTCAAGATGAAAACCATATATACTGCCAAATAAAATATTCTGCAACATTCCCAGCATTACAGATATAATTTGTACCCTGGCCAACAACATAAATCCGGATTAGGCATATAGATTGTCTCGGATATTTCCTGAGCCAAACAGTTTAAATGAAACCCTAGCTACATTTTTCTCTTTAATTTTATAGAACTGCTTATTTTATGATTTAACGAGAATTTGGGGGTAAAGAAATCAGTCTCTATGTTTAACAGAAATGCACACACTTACGCAGTTCACCAGCTGCGTTTCGCCCACCGACAGCATACAGATATCCTTTGAGGGCACTTAGGTGGAAGAAGGTGCGCTTTTCATTTAAAGACGCAACCTGCATCCATTTATTGTAGCGAGGATCAAATCTGAAGACTGTATCGACTGCCGTTTTTCCTTTTGTGTCATAATTACTCTGTCCACCGACGACATAGAGGAAATTTCCAATGACGGCGATGCCATGCTGGTACCTTGGGGCATCCATGGGGGCTAACGATTTCCATTCATGGGCCTTTTCATCATACATGCGCAATTCCTTGCTGACAACCAGCTGCTGCCTCAGCACTCCTCCAAGCGTGACCAAATGAGTGGTGTCAGACCGAATGGCAGTCCTGTCTGACTGCATCACTGGCTGCATGTACGGCATCATTTGGTAATTGCTGGCTTCCAAAAGCAGATTCACACAGGTATTGTCAGTTCTCATGAAATCCACGGTTTGCACATAATTAATGAGCTCCTGCGGTGTCATCAGTGGAAATCGTATGTTCTTCATTAATTTTGCAGCAAAGTCCATCCGAGGCTCTTCTAGGCGTAGCCAGCGACAGGTAGCCTTAAAGAGCTCAAGTTCAGTGCAGTGCTTAAGGCTATTGCTGGAAAGCACAAAGGCAAGACGCTCAAAAGGGAGTTTCAAGAACTCCCCAGTGCTCAGCAATGCAGGAAAATTCTTCAGGACAAAACTGTTGACGTATTTATCCACTTCTGTCAGATTGTAGGTGTTGGCAATCCGACCAACTTCGACACAATTGTCTAAAGTGACCTATTAAACCAGTAAAAAAAAAATTAAAATGCTACCAATTTCATGACACTCATATTCTGGATAACAGAAATACCTGTTCTAGAAGAAGAGTCAACTAAGCTTTTTACTGTCCATAGAGATGCAAATAAAAATTCTTACCTAAATACATTAATGATCTAAAGAGAATTCACAAACCACCTTTACCTAATCCAATAGAAAGTAACTAAAAGAAAATTATCTACATCACATCAACAAGAGAAAGGATAAAAACCCTATGATTATTGCAATAGTTGAAGAAAAAAGGCATCTGACAAAGTACAATGTCCATTCATAATAAAAACCCTCAACAAAGTACGTTTAGAGGGAAAGTACCTCAAACATAATAAAGGCCATACATGAAAAACCCACAGCTGACATCACACTCAATGGGGAAAAACTGAGAGTTTCTCCCCTGAGATCAAGAACAGGACAAGGATGTCTCCTCTCACCACTTTTATTCAACACAGTACTGGAAGTCCTAGCCACAGCAATCAGACAAGAAAAAGAAATAAAAGGTATCCAAATTGGCAAGGAAGAAGTAAAACTGTCAATATTTGCAGATGACGTGATACTATATATAGAAAACCCTAAAGACTCCACCAAAAAACTACTAGAACTGATAAATGAATTCAGTAAGGTCACAGGATACAAAATCAATATACTGAAACCCACTGTATTTCTATATACTAACAATGAAGTAGCAAAATGAGAAATTAAGAAAACAGTCCCATTTACAATTACACCAAAAATAACAAAATACCTAGAAATAAACTTAGGAGGTAAAAGACCTGTACTCTGAAAACTATAAAACATTCATGACAAAAAATTGAAGATGACACAAATGGAAAGATTATCCATGTTCATGGATTGCAAGAATAAATATTGTTAAAAAGTCCATACCACCCAAAGCACCAAAGCAATCTACACATTTAATGCAATCCCTATCAAAATACCAACAGCATTTTTCACAGAACTAGAAAAAACAATCCTAAAATTTGTATGGAACCATAAAAGACCCTGAATAGCCAAAGCAATCTTGAAAAAGAAAAACAAAGCTGGAGACATCACAATTCCAGACTTCAAGTTATATTACAAAGCTGTAGTCATCAACACAGTATGGTACTGGCACAAAAACAGACACATAGATCAATAGAACAGAATAGAAAACCCAGAAATAAACTCATGATTATATAGTCTATTAATCTTTGACAAAGGAGCAAGAACATGCAATGGGAAAATGACAGTCTCCTCAACAAATGGTGTTGGGAAAACTGGACAGCTACATGAAAAAGAATGAAACTGGAACACTTTCATACACAAAAGTAAACTCAAAATGGATTAAAGGCCTAAAAGTGAGACCTGAAACCATACAAATCCTAGAAGAGAGCACAGGCAGTAATTTGACATCAGCTGTAGCAACATTTTTCTAGATATATCTCGTGAGGCAAGGGAAAACACAAGCAAAAATAAACTATTGGGACTATGTCAAAATAAAAACTTCTGTACAGCAAAGGAAATAAATAGTCAACAAAACAAAAAGACAACCTACTGAATGGGAAGAGATATTTGCAAATAACATATCCAAAAAAGGGTTAGTATCCAAAATATATAAAGAACTTATACAACTCACACCAAGAAAACACGAATAATCTGATTAAAATATGGGCAGAAGACAGGACAGACATTTCTCCAAATAAGGCATTCAGATGGCCAACAGACACATGAAAAGATGCTCAACATCACTCATCATCAGGGAAATGCAAGTCAAAGCCACAATGAGATATCACCTCACACCTGTCAGAATGGCTAAAATCAAAAGCACAAGAAACAACAAGTGTTGGCGAGGACATGGAGCAAAAGGAACACTCATGCACCGTTGGTGGGAATGCAAACTGGTGCAGCCAGTGTGGAGAACAGTATGGAGGTTCCTCAGAAAAATAAAAATAGAACTATCATATGATTCAGTAATTGCACTACTGGGTATTGACCCAAGGAATATGAAAACACTAACTTGAAAGGATATGTGCACCCCTGTGATTATTGCAGCATTAATCACAATAGCCAAATTATGGAAGCAGCCCAATGTCCATCCATAGCTGAATGGATAAAGAAGATGTGACACACACACACACACACACACACACACACACACACAGGAATACTATTCAGCCATAAAAAAGAATGGAATCTGGCCATTTTGCAACAACATGGATGGATCTAAAGAGTATAATGGTAAGCAAAATAAGTCAGAGAAAGACAAATACCATATGATTTCACTCATATGTGGAATCTAAGAAACAGAACAAATGAATGAAGAAAAAAGAGACAAAACAAAAAACGGATTCTTAACTATACAGAACAAACAGATGGTTACCAGAGGGGAGGTGGTTGGGGGGGGGATGGGTGAAACAGGTGAGGGGGATCAAGAGTATTCTTATCTTGATGAGCATCGAGTAATGTACAGAATTGCTGAATCAGTATATTGTATACCTGAAACTTATGTAACACTGTATATTAACTATATTGGAATTAAAATGTAAAAAAGAAGTGGATAATAAATATTTATTGACTATTGAAAAATAAAAAAAGTATCAAAATCAGTACATTAGAAGTTACCCCAAGAAACAATGTTGTAAGTTGGTTATGGCCAAAATAATTCCTTTTCTCTTCTTGAAAATGTGTGTTCCCTCTCAAAAAAAATACTAAATGAAATTCTGGCTAGATGGAAATTTTGGAAAAATAGAGGGTTATTCTATTTTGGCTCACCTTAATCCACTTCTTAGTCAGGATTCTTAAAAGTTACATTGCTAGCAGATCCACAAACAGAAAATCTCTAATACAGGATCTCTTTCATGCAAACAGTCACGGTTCATTACTGTAATTCATTTTGATTCCTTCAAAAGTTATTGTTTCTAATGAAGGTAATTTAATAAGGCAATTATTCCTAGGGTGAAGTTATTTTCACATTATTTATGTGGAAATACAAGGAAAGGAATCACTTCGGTGAGGATTGGAACAGGTGTATCTCCATCAAATTTACTCATGGCATAGTTAATTTCTGGTGTCTATGATGATGGCTTGCCACAGTTTCCCTTGGCAATTCTCTTACTCCCAGCATAATCTAGCTCTGCCTGGAGTCAAAATGAGCCTAGAAAAGTCTCCCCTGCACAGATGACAATGTAGCAAAAACCGAAAATAGGAAAAGGAGACAAGTGATGGAGAGGCCCATCTTCAGCAAGAGCTCTTTCGGATGCTTTCATAACTGGTCAAAAGTGAAAACAGGAGACACTGGGGAGGGTATGTGCTCTGGTAAGCGCTGTGAATTGTGCAAGACTGTTGAATTTCAGATCTGTACCTCTGAAACAAATAATGCAGTATATGTTAAGAGAAAAAAAAAAAAGAAGAAGGTAGCAGGAGGGGAAGAATGAAGGGGGGGAAATCGGAGGGGTAGACGAACCATGAGAGACGATGGACTCTGAAAAACAAACTGAGGGTTCTAGAGGGGAGGGGGGTGGGAGGTTGGGTTAGCCTGGTGATGGGTATTGAGGAGGGCACGTCCTGCATGGAGCACTGGGTGTTATGCACAAACAATGAATCATGGAACACTACATCTAAAACTAATGATGTAATGTATGGGGATTAACATAACAATTAGAAAATAAATAAATAAAAGTGAAAACAGGAAAATCATATCAGCAAATATTATGCAAGGAATAAATCACTGAAACAAGCCTACCATACAAATACCTGTGTGTGTATACAAACACACAAGCAGGTCACAGGCAAAGGACTCAGTTTTCTCTTAATTTTCTCAGTGTGTGTATTCACGTATGTCATGTAAACTTCACGAACGAAACTGCATTGTTAACAGATTGGCAGATGATTAAGAGAAAATTGGCTAATCCTTGTATTATCCTTTTATTTAAAAGCTGAAATGAGACTAAAATAATTACTCCTCTGCATAAAATATCAGCCCAGTTAAGACATATCATCACTGAAAGCTCAAAGGTTAAGACACACACACAAGGCTATTTTCATAGATTGATTACTCAGGAAGAATTTGAACAATTTTAAGCAGCTGGTTTGCTTTATGGGAATCGCCAAAAAATTTTAATTGCTTATTATCCTTAATAGCTATATATTAAAAAAATAGTTAAAACACAATTGCAACACAGAAGAAGTAGGAAAAATAAAGTAAGAAATTAGGGGCCTTTTGAAATACACAGTTTCACACCATTCAGTACCTTGGATTTCCAGTGTGGTTAATAAAAAGTACATTTCAATCCAATTTTAGGCGTGGCAGGTTGGCGTCTCATAAAAGTTTTCATTGTGTAAATGAAGTTACAGTGAATTCCCAGTTGCCCAAATCACCTTGGGTGGCAGGAATTAGTATCTGAGGTAATGAGTCCACTTTCTGGAGCAGGAAAGAAGTAGCCTTTCCCCAGAGCAAAGGGTAATTTGCACTTTTGAACACATTGACTAGTATGGATAAGTGAAAGTTGATGAGAACACAAAATTAACTATTCCCAAGTTTGCAGATTCTCACCATTACGGATACAATTACAAATAAAAACGACAAAAAATTGGGTACTTCAAATAGGCAAAATGATACCATCAGTTGTTGGTCACCAAATATAAGTCTAAATTTATAGCATATAAAACAAACAGAGATAAAAAATTAAAAACCAAACTGTGTAATTTAGAAATAGGATCAAGGTATTTACTTCCTTCCCCTTTTCCCCCTTCAACTTTATCCAGTAGGAAGACAATTACTAAAATAACAGCATAAAAAAAAACCTACCTTTGATTTAAGGGCATTTTGAAAATATCCTCTATATATCGGTATGCTCAGAGACAGATACACAAAACTGCAAAAGACTGTGACAGACCACCTAGTACATACGGGTAGCTGCCTAATCTTTTCTTAAAAATCACCAGAGAAAGGTATTTCATAACCTCCCAAACTGTCATTTTCTTGATGG